TAAACCTCCCCTGACATAACTTGAATCCATTTCCTCAAATATGTATAAGTAAATTCACTCATTTAACCCTATAACCCTGCTAAAAGGCAGGAATTGCCGACCTAGCAAGAAGCTCGGCATTTCTTAACTTCTGAGTGTTGACTTTCCTACTGCAGTTTTTCTTTAGCCTGTTTTTTCCTACGCAACTCCAAGCTAAAAAAAAAAATCTAAAAAATTCCATCATGTTATTTCACATCGGCATTCAGATGGATCACCAGTACTTGTCAGAACTTGTAAATTTTGCGCAAAAGCCTCTGCCATTTGAATTACCAATAAAAGCATTTCCTCATTTATGATGGCCTGCACCAGTGAAACACCTACTCAGAAGCTTCAGAGCTACTTACTCTTACTCGAGGAAACGCAACTCTCAAAAAATTTTAGCTTTTATTCCAGCATCCAGCGGAGAAGACATCCTCGCTGGATGAGATGTCTGAACGATCCTTCACAGCTCCTCCATGACTGCCGCCATTTGACCCCTTTTCTCCAGCTTGTTCTTACCCAGGTCCTGTTTGCTCTTCATTTCGTAACTCCTCACTCCGGTCCTATTCCTGGGCAGCCTGAAGCTTTAATTCCTACAGGCAAACTGAAAACTCAAATGTCTAAAAGTGTTATGTCTACAGCCCTCATCTGTGGACTCTCACGTACATAGAAGATCTTAACGATTCAGTTGTGTTGCACCACAAGGATAGATGAGAGGATTGATCTACTCAGACCGTCTCCGTGACAAATCTTTCTCTGATGATGATGTTTGCTGCTCCCGAACACCAGACACACCACACACTGAATAGAAATGTAAAGGCAATGCAGGGTGCGTTGTACAAAATGAGATATCCTGGGGCACATAATGAGATAACATCTATTACCATAAATTATGAAGTGATTTACGCATAAATGAGGGTTGTCATGAAATTTAATTTTAATGGTTTGATAATCAAGTAAGAAACACAATAATTACCATACCCAAGATTTTCAATAAATTAAAATCACTGCTAGTGGCAACACTTTTTTTGTTAACGTACATAATACAATTCCCCTCCCAGAGCTGTCTGCTGTACTCTTCCATTTCAAAACAACTGTTGAATGCCACATCACAGTGACAAACAAGTTCCGTTTTACTGCTGATTACATTCAAGACATTTTTACATTCAAGACATTTCTACATTCATAGCAAAGCCCCTCCAACACAAAGTGTGCAGTTGAGGACTTCAAGAAGCAGCTTTGCAGAGGGGAGGCTCTGCTAGTCCAGCAAAATACCTGAAGGCTCAACTTTCCAACAGCATATATCAGAGAACTTATTTCCCTCATCATCACATGAAGTATATTCAACTGGGTGGATTAGATTAGTAAAACAAGTTGACACCCCAGTGTGGTATACTAAATATATTTTTTATTAACTAAAGATGTCGCCAACATCTCAGTGTCACTCCCCACAGCCAGAACTTCAGCAGAGTAACTTGTCTGACACCTTTTTGCCAGGACACCAGTTGCCCAATATATTTCCCTGTGTATATTAAATCTTTTAAAAACTCTTGCAGATGTAAAGCAGCAAAAAATAATTTAATTTTGAACCTAACTTTGTAATGAAATCTATTTATATTTTCAGGATTTCATCAAAGGACCCTCCAAAACCCTTACCCCTCTCTTTTCTTCAGCACAAGAAAGGGAGGGCAAATTTCCTTTCTTTTCCTTCTCTCCTCCAAATGAGTCTTAGGTCCCACTCCTCACCACCGCATTCTTCCGAGAACAAAAGGCCTCAAAATAAAACATATCACTAATTGTCCCATAATGAGAAACAAAGGAACATTTCAAATCATATGGAAACCAAAAAGGGGAGTATGAAGATCACAAAGTAACATCTTGGGATACAGGAAAAAAAATGAAAGGCTGATCCTTTCCATCCGTGTGTCCGCAGAAAATATTATGATAAAAGACAGAAATGAGGGAACAAAATAATCACTGAGCCCAAATTATCATTTCTTACTATAAAACAGTGGGGAGCAAAGCATGTCGCCTCTCGGAAACACTACTTAAATACACATCTGAGAACAGTTACAACACACCAAATATTTCCAATCAACGGCTTAAAAATTACAGTAAATGGTAAGCTTAAGGTTTTCTGAAAACTAAAATGATAACCTTTACTAGTCAGCAGAATAATCTTACTGTACAAAAAGCCCTATATTTTCCAGATAGTATTTTAACAGCCTAAAGATGTCACTTTTTCTTAACAATGTAATTAATACCAGTTTTTCATACTGCATGCAGCGCTATCGTAATGACTACTGTTTCCCTATCTCTAAGTTAATTGAAGCAAATTTTACTTCAGACCTTAAAGTAAAAGGGTTGTGTAATATTCTATGTATTTGATCCATTTTACATAAATACATAAATAAGACAGAGAACAGGAGTGAGCGAGAATGTACCAACTAATATGGACGCCCGAAGATGGATACCAGGGACTGCCCTGCGTGGACTCAGCCAGTACTGATCTGCTGCTTTTTGGCATTTCTGCTTCCATCTCCTACACTCTCCCCATTTCCAGCAACACAGTCAATTGGGGATCTTAGTTATAAATCAAGTACGTTATGGAGAGTGCTGTAATAAGCGCAGCATCCAGAGCCTTCCATCGCCATTCTTCATTTCACAGAAAAGCAGTGGAAGAATCCCCTGCAAATTCCCTCTCACCGGGCACGGGAAGGCAAAACTTATATTCTACAGTGACGGCTCCATAATACAGCAAAGAGAAGCAACACATCAGAGACTTCCAAGTTATTTTACTTTCTAAAAATAAACGCAGGAAGCAAAGAGGCAAGCGTAAGCAGGACGCAGCGTTATCCTTCTTTGTAGGTCCGTAGGTAGAGAATATGAAAACACAGTCTCCAGCAATAAGAATGGGAAGGAAGAAAACAATTTCCTGCTATCTACACTTTGTCAGGACAGGAGATTTCAAAATGCTGGTGATGAATGGAGGGAGAGTAAATTACAAAAGGAAGCAAGAGTGACCAAAGCTGGTAAAAAAGTTGTAATTTAAATAAAAGGGGAACGAGGAAAACATTAACAATGAGGATGGAATCACGAAGGTACAGGGAAGGGGGAAAATCCTGAGCTTGACTAAAGAGCCTCTCTTTAAATATTAATCACGTATTAACAAAAATTCAATGTCCACAGATAAGAAAGAATCATCAAAGGAGAATCTGAGAGCAGGCTTTGTTGAAAAGCATTGTATATCTGGACTGAAAACACTTGGTTCAAATGTAAACTCCTGAGAGTGATTGTCCTATGTTTCAAAAGAAAGATCTAGACCCATTGACCATTGCCCCCCAGAAAAAGGGAATTTATCTGATAATTTTTTGGTTTTTGGGGGGGTGGGGAGTGGTGTAAGATTAACAAAAGCATTTTGCTAGGAGGAGGAAGCTAATTAAAGCCCAGTGTATGTTCCACCTGAGCTTCTGTAGCAGATCCATCAGAATAAAAACTAAAACTCTAAGCAACATAGGAGTTATACACACATTGTCACACTCAAAAGCACTTCTCAGTCAAGAAATAAGTAGCAAATGAGTTTAGAACTGATAAAAAACTCAGTGCAAGGGTAAAACAATAAAATATTTTGCAGTAAGAATAAAAATCAGTATCCTTAAAAGGTTTAAGTACTTCCAAAAAATACACGATTTGCCTGGAAAAATTAGTGTTTCAAAAGAGTTATTGAAGGGGCTTATAATATTGTCCCAGAAGTTGGGAGTAAAAAATTTCAAGGTGTTTATCAACTATAAAAAAGATGGGAAATAGCAAGAGGCATAAAAACAAAAATACAAAACAGTACAGATAAGAACGTGAACATTTTGGGGAGTATTAAGAATGCTTTTTAAAAAAAAAAAAAAACCAAACAAAATAACCCAGTTCTTTCTAAATAAAAGGAACAAGCACTGTGTGTTACTGGCATTTTTTCCCATTCCTTGATACAGTAAAATTGAGAAAATTCAGTTTTGGTTTGAGTCAATGTATTTTCTCATGCTAAAAAGGCAAAAAGACTAAGGCAAAAAGCATTCCGAATTCACTGCTACTGTTACATGTTCTATACTTCTTTTTGACAATTGCATGCCTCACGATTCATGTGTTTTTACTTTGAACTTAATATTCAGACTGAGATCTGAAGGCATTAAAGTATCTCTTTTTAAATAAGTTTATCAATTGCATGATTTAAGACTGCGGCACAACTCTCCCAAGGAAGAGAAGCGCACAGATAGCCCATGACCAAAAGGAAACATTTCTTTTTTCACACTTTCATCTTTTTAAGATGAAAATGGTGTAATCTAGATGTAATGATCATCTGATGGCAATAAACCAAGC